ATCAGTTTTTCTTAATTTCTAATTTAGGTTGAGAAACTATCCATTGACTTCGAAATGGGCGTGGCTATGTCGACTGTCTTTAACGGGTGGGGGTGGTCAATATTTGAAAAGTAACATGACTGGTCTGGATTGCTTTCCTGCTTTCTGTCTATTTGGACATAACTGCGATAGCAAAACACTAAACGATATCCCATGTAATAAAGAAAATAATAATAATAGAGCGTTTATAAATTGAATTTTCCCTGGGTTTTCAGATTTCGATTGGCTTTTGATATAAAAACCTTCTCCTTCTGATTTGCATTTCAAATAAAAACGTACATAGCCGTTTGAATTTATTTAATTTGTTTTTAAAATATGGACAAAAACGTTCGAAAAAAACAGCTCAACAAGCAAGGAGATTTTTTTTATGGTGGAACCGAATTTACGATTTGCATGAATATTTTCACCTGGTGCAGATGCGAAGAGGAGCAACCTGTTGTTCTCTCCACATCGACATGACGTGATTTACAATTTTCTTAAAAGACTTTGAACTTTTTAATTGTATATCCGGTACAGAGAGATAAACCGGCTTATTTCGGCCTACCTTGATATATCGAACAATAACTCTTTTTGAACTTCATCACGTTTTCTCAAATTGAGGTGTTCGCACAACAATAAAGACGTTAAGAATGCTTAATGAGTTTGCTACAAAACGAGTGGGCTTGGCTAACTTGATTGCTATTAATGGGTGGGCGTGGCCTGTGGTACTGACGACTGTGTTCCTATGAACTGGAATTTTGAAACTCTTTACAAATAAAATTATCGATTTTGATTTTAAATAGTTGTCCGTCAAAGATCAGTTTTATGTTGAATGATAAAATGTTTAGTAACGTTTTACTGCATTATTGTTCAATGATTAAGAAGTGGCTATGGTGATCATGTTTAAGGTGTGGTCAATAAGTGGATATAAAATGAATGGATTTATTTCTCCAATCTTTTTGACAAAAACATAAATTAAGGGGTGGAGAAAAACGACTTAAGCACTGACACGGCGCACCTATTAGGTAAAGAAGCCGGGTTCGAATCCAGTGCCCCTAGATTCGAACCCGATAGAAATGGGCTTTTTTCAAACACTGACACCCTGAGTGTCAATCCCACGTTTAACTTAAACTGCTCAAAAATGACTAGGGATTTTGTAGTATTTATTTTCACCAGCACTTTTATCATAAATTGCATCAAGATTTATTAGAAATTATTATGTTTTTTACTGAAGGAAAATTTATTTAAGGGATAAAAATAAAAGGTGTTAATTTCATTGGACATATTTTTTTTAAACAATTAATACCGTGTATAATTTCCTGTGTTAGTTAAAACCTCTGTGCACCAGTTAGCCACACTGTTAATTAGATTATCACTAATTTCATAAACAATTTCTCTCAGTTACAACGCTGCATTCAGTTGTTCCAGGACAACATGTGATCGAAAACCTTTTCTGAAACGCAACCCACATGAGCTCAGTGGGATTGAGGTCTGGAGACAATGGGGTAAGGGACGGATGGAAAATTCTCAGGTTTTCTAAACCTAAATGAACAACTCGGTCTCTATGAGATCTGGCATTGTCATCCAATCGAAAATCCCAACCAATGAGATTCCTGGTTTGAAGGATGATTTCCTAGATAGTTATTTGGACATAACGTACAGCAGTGAGGCTGCCTTCAAGAATATGGAGTCCAGTTCCTCCAGTGTAAATCCCTCCCCAGACAATTACCCGGCCTTCTTCAAACTGCACTAAAGGGAGCACGAACTAGGGCAGTGTACGCATCTCGTACCTGTCCTTGGTACACTCTTTGGCGCCTGATATCACTATACAGACGTAAACACGACTTCAGTAAACATAACAGCATTGGCGTTCTCTTCCAGGCGCTCGCTGCGAAGACCGCCGACGACCGAGTAGCCTCTTGTTGGCACTTCCAGTCTGTCGGAGTCGAGCTAAAGCCAATGCTCTGAGAATCGCCGACTGCCTCTGCGATATCCACTTTCTGGTGACCTCGATTCTCACAATAATATTGTGAACTTCTGGTTCATGTTGACTTCTTTCCATGTATAAAGAGAATACAACTGTATTAAAATGGATAAAAGACGAGAAAAGGTATTTGTTTACGAATTGAGTAATCTTTACTTTTACTATTCTTAAGTAAATTTGTTGTTAAAAATGAATTAATTTTTGTTTCTGGTTTGTATTTTCTATTTGGCTTTATCCAACTAACAACAATATATCGGTTAATTTAATTGAAATTAATAGAATAAGAATAAATTATAAATATCTGTATTCATTTTTGAGGGGTTTAGAAGTGTGCGTGGCTAAGTTGTTAAATTTTGTTGGGGGTGGTCGAGATTTATTGTATATCCACTATTGCGACTCGACGGCAATTTTCTTTTGAAATTACTGCTTTTGACATTGAGTGCATTTACGTCTATCCATATGTTAAATATCGTTAGGTTGGTGAAATAAAACTAGAAAAGGGGCGGGGCTTTTTGGCTATTCTTAATGGAAGGGTGTGGCTTTTGCAACCAAACGAAACTAGTCTCTCTTCTAGATTGATCCAGTCTTTTTTGGCCAAACTTTGATAGAAAGATCAAAATGAACAAATCACTTTGCTGTGAAGCAAATAAACGTGGTTAAGACGATTTATTTAACTGATTGGACCAAATTGGTTTTGATGTGTTTTGGGGCATTTAAAATTTGAAAACTTAGTCCTGTTGTAAATTATTGACTTTCGTTTTGACTGGTTGTCCTCAAAAGGTTGTTATCTTTAAATATTGTCAAATTGTTCAATTGAATTTGTTTGCGTGGGCGCGGTCATATCAATTACCGACAATGGGTGGATAAGGTAATTAATCTTAATTTTCGATTTATTACAGAGATTTTGACAGGAAGGAGGTACAAAATAAATTTGGAATTTTTTCTCGTAAAGATATGTTACATAACTAAACTCCTTAAATTTTTGACTGCACAGTATGTCGATACTATTGTGAACGTAATACAATTTGTGCAAAATTTAAAAAAATTGAAGGTAGTTTAAGCCAAGGGTAGTTATTTGAGAAGGATTTAATACAGTGAATTCGGTAAACGGACGTCGGGGTCGGGACCCCGAGCTAAGGCATAGGAGGTATCCTCTAATTGCCCTGTAATTCCCAAATCGTCGATGCCCCGCGTGTCTGCCTCCGTGTCCGGCCCGTGTGTGTGAATGCATGCCCGCCTGAGCCTGTGTGGGAAAAATTAATAGGATCCGAGAAACTTGTTGAAAAAAAGAGAAAAAAGAGCCGTGTAGCCTCTGTCTCGTTGACCTTTGCCGATGCATTCCCCACCTCCCTCTGCTACACCTGAGCCTTTTTATAAATGTCACAACTGCTCTTCCAGTCAACAACCTGTTTAAGGGGACCGTCTCAATGACTACCCTTCTTTCATTTAGCCCTTGGAGCACTTATTAAGCCTGCCAATAAATGTTGAGGCGGAGCTAAGTCATTTGGAGCTCTCATTCAGGACTTTTCCAAAAGTCTCAGATTTCTGCTGAAGACACTCACGAACAGTCGTGATTTTTAATGCAATTTTTTTACTTGCCATAATCTTCCTATATAGATTAATTATCACTTTTGTGAAATGGAAACCACTGAAAATAAAAATTATTTAGTTTGACTGTCCTCGTCCATCTGTCCATATGTCTTCATTGAGCCGTTGCTCCGCATTCGAAGACAATAGGGGTATTCACGATCTTTGTGTTAACTCTGCTAGGTCGTGTTAGAGAAAAATGATGACAGACTATGTAAGAGTCGGCTAGTTCACATTGCTGGATCTAACAGGGTAGGGCCAATGGTGTAGTACCTAAATGGTTAGGTCGAAGGCGTAGTCACTAGCCGTTAGGGCATAGGTAACCAACATGGCAGCCATGAATTATACAGCCGTTTTTGTTTACGCGTATTTTTATTTTGAAATACGCATTAATTAAATCAGACCAATACATTTGTTTTGTTAATTTCTAACCTGTCCTTACACTCTCATTCGTAGTATATACACCCCCTATCGTATAAAGGAGTAGGCTATTAGATGTTAGGATACAAGTTAGTTATGTCGGCGCGAATTGAAGCGTGTCATTTGTTAGTACTTTTCGAGTGCATAGCTTGCATTTTGAATGAAAGAATTGATTAATTTTTCCTTTTTTATTAAATTCTGGCATCTTACAGTTTAACACAAAACAAAAGCATAACAAACAACAGCAAGCCTTTAAGGACTGTTATAGCTTTATTTTTGGTTCTACCAGTTGCCACGCGCAGTATTGCGGAAAAATTAACATTTTAGACGGTAAGAAAAGAATACGCGTGGCAGTTTCGTCCTCCTCATTGCATAACCTATAAATGAAGTCATCGTTGAATCCATTCTGCGTAGGTGACTTTTTTCAGATAAGCCTCTAACCCTTTTGAGATTTGCCCTGCCTAATCGAAATAATGCGGTTGCTTGTTTGGACAAGGTTTCTTTAATCATTTATGCTATGGATCAGTCTAGAAGTAGTCCATTTCTCCTTTTGCTTTATACAGATTGTATTTGATATCAGGTTCTGGGCTATAACTTGTATCTTCTTTTCGATTTCTGCTTTCCAATCCCGTTATTTCTAATATTCACCAATAACTAGTGAATGGGTGGATGGGAGTGTCTATGTTTCTAGGATCAGGTTCGTTCTTGGTTCCAATCGAGGTTTTGTATCCGTCAGCTCGCTGCTGTGAAAATGTGTACCACCGATAAGAATAATTATCTGTTTACCATTGTAATTGATCACCCCGCATAAACTCGCAACGTCAGGTTCAGACGGGTTCCAGCTTTTCCAGCAAACGTCTGCCATTATCGTGGTCCACCGATCCGTGCTGGTTCGTTCTGGTACAGGCATTTCTTCCTTTCTCAAAATAAAAACTGAAAGGGTGGACGTGTCAGTGATCTTCTTGCATAAAGTTAGTTATAGTCCATTATTACATTGACAGTTCATCATTATAAAAAAATTTCATTACAGACTCATCAGTGAGTCCCCCTCCACGGAAATCTTTAGTAAAAGCGAAAGATTTATTCGTTATGAAGGGAGACCCCGCTAAACGCAGAAACAGGCTACATAATACAAAATGATTACAATATTAAGGTTGTAGAAGGTTATAAAGCCCAGTGTCTTTCGGACTTCTAACGCAAATGTAAAAAGAGTCAGGTTGCAATCTGCACATATGTAAATATTTGGTCAAATAAACTAGTTTTTCTTCTTCTTCTTCATCATTATACAATTTATAATGCAAATTATCTGTTGGACATCGTGATCTATTCTCGCAATATACCAACAAGGGTCAGGCGGGATCAAGCGCCGCTTGCGCCCCCCAGGTTTTAGGGTAATAAGCGGGAAGAAGCAAGACTTATTAAAAATCTAATCTTTAAAGATGTGCAGAAGGGGTATTTGGCGTATATCGTTCATAACCGCTATTGTTCTCAATTCGTGGAAAAATATTGAACCGATTTTTGAAAAATTCGTGAGATAGTTAGTCAATTTTGCCAAGAATAGCAGTTCTAAATTATTTATAAATAATAATACTTCTGCATCAGGTTTGAAAGTTAAAAAAATGTATAAAGTGTCTTGCCTCTCCCTTCTTATAACCCTGTCATCATCAGTCAGCGTTTTGCCAAGAATTGTTAAGAAAAGCAATAATACCCTATTTACCCAGGACAACCCTTCTGCTGGGTTGAAGTGAGGTTACATCGTGTTAAAAAAGTGTCTTGAATCTCCCTGCTTATAACCCTGTCATCATCAGCGTTTTGCCAAGAACTGATAAGAAAAGTAATAATACTCTATTTACCCAGGACAACCCTTCTACTGGGTTGAAGTGAGGTTACATCGTGTTAAAAAAGCGTCTTGCCTCTCATTGCTTATAACCCTGTCATCATCAGTCAGCGTTTTGCCAAGAATTGATAAGAAAAGCGATAATATCCTATTTACCCAGGACAACCCTTCTGCAGGGTTGAAGTGAGGTTAGATCGCGGAGGGAGATATGAGTGGAAGATATGAGATCATCAACTCTACCAGTGATTACTGAACTCTCGCTCGGTCAGGTCGGGCATAGTCATCTAGGAAACGGAACTCGAGGCTTGCTTATCAGAGAGCCGGAGATGAATCTTCAACTTCTAGAATTTCATCAAATGTTTTATCGCGTATGACGGCAGGTTGACTGCACCAGAAAGTTATTACCTGGAGTTTTCATTAAAATTTTTTATACATAATCGAATATAAAAATGTCTTATGTAATTTATCCACAGAAGTTGCAAAGCGTTCCACGTTTAAGTATTTTACTGTAATTAGTTAAATATACATTAAAATTAACGACCTATACACTCTGAAATTGTGGTTGAACCGGGATATAAACAGAGGGAGGCAAGAATAGGCAATATTTATTTTAATCTTCAAATGATGCGCAGAGTTTTCATGAGTAAATAGTTGTAAACCGTATTCCCGGCCAAACGTAAAACATATGTCAGTGTTATAAATTCAGAAAGGCTACATAGTTTATCTTCAAACAAGGTGCAGAAGGGTTATTCCGGGTAAATAACTGAGAACCACTATTTTTGTAAAATGTTCACAAACCGTTAAAATGTTATTAGGGTAATAAGGAGGAAGATGCAAGACTTTTTTAAAAATCTAATCTTTAAAGATTTGCAGAATGGATATTTTGGGTATATCGTTCATAACAGCTATTCTTGCCAATTCATAGGAAAATATTAAACCTATATCTAGGGTATAAGCAGGGAGAGGCAAGACATTAGCTACATTTTTTACCTTCAAACGACATGTAGAAAAATAATCCTTGAATAATAAATAGTAATAACTAATAATTGATAAATAGTTGAGAACCTATTCCTTTCACTAATTGGCAAAAGGTTGACCGATGTTGGGTTATATGCATGGAGAGGCATCACACTCAGTTCATTTTTCAAATTTCACCTTCACACGCGGCCTAGAAGGGTTGTCCTGGGTAAATAGCTAAGAACCACTAACCTTGCATCCAGGCAAAACGTTGAACCGATATCTGGGTAATAAGTAGGACAGGCAAGACACTAGCTGCATTTTTACCCTCAAACGAGGTGTAGAAAAGTTATTATTGATAAATAGGCCATTATCGCTTTACTTATCTATTATTTGCAAAAGATCGACTGATGATATCAGGGATATAAACAGGGAAAGCCAGGGTAGATGTATTTTTTTTAATCAAAAAACCAAGTGCATTAGTAATAAATAGTTGAGAAACGTTATTCTTGTCAATTGTTGGCAAAACGTTGATGTCAGGGTTATAAGCAGGGAGAGGCATATTTCATCTAATATCCATTCACTCTAAGACGTTACTAAAATAAAGACTAATATATAATCTATCCCTTTCACTATTCACCTCCTTCACCTTCACTCTCTCTCACTCTCTCTATTTTTCACTTCTCTGTCACTCTCTCTCGCCTCTCTCTTACTTTTCTCTCCTTCTCTCTCTCTCTTTAATTTCTCTCTCTCTCTCTCTCTCTCTCACTCTCTCTCTCTCTCTCTCACTCTCACTCTCTATCTCTTTATCTCTTTCTCTTTTTATGTATCGATCTGTTCATCTATCTACCTCATCTATCTATCTATCCATCTAACTTCTTATTTATCTATATATCTGTTTTTTATAGAATGAATTTTTCATATTTCATCTTTATTTCCCTTACCTGCCACTGTATGCACTTTTGAAATAATAATTGTACTAACGAGCATGTAAATTCTTTTGCTTAAAAAAAACACTTCATTTGGTAGGATTGATTATCTTTAAATACATGAGATGAAAGTTTTTTGTTTTTTTTCAGTGGCCGGGCGATATTGGTAACATAATATAATCCAAATAATCAATCTATCCAGAACCAGCGTCTTTGCGAATTCCACCCTCGCGGCCGACTCTTGGAGGACGATCACCGCCCACGAAAATTTGGCCCGTTCTTAACTGGAGGTAAATGTTTGAGGGTTGACCGGTTCCCACAGTAGTATGTTACGGTGGATTAGAGTGGGTACGTGGACAGGTTTCTACGTGGCCACTGCTGGGAACGAGAGACGTGCTTCGACAATGCCTGACGTCACTTCATCCGCTCCGACATTGCAATTGCATCACGGCCCGTGTAATAAAATTAACAGGGATTAGGGGGAAAATGGTGAAAATCCACGTAGGATCGACGTCTATAGAGCAGGAGTTGTAATGCAAACACGGCACGCATTTACGACTAACGCCGTGTATGTAACACATCTTAAAATCTTCAACACTCTCATCTTTATAATTCTTCTTTCATTTCTTCTATATCTTTTTTCATAATCGCCGAGCTTGATGGCGCTACGAGGTCTTTTATCTTTTTAAACAAGATAGCGTCATCCCATTAAATTTCTTCAGCACCTAAAGTCTAGACACTACGTTTTGCAAAACAATATTTTATTTTCAATTAAAGCTTTTTTATTTAGTTTAATTAATTTCATGTAGGAATTTATACATTAGTACCACCCTAAAGTAGAAAAGCTCCTTCAAAATTAATCAAAATTTATTAATTTATTTTCTTTTATAAGTACAACTTTTTAACATCTAGATGATTACATCATTAATTAAACTCCTTAACACCTTGAATCTGGAAATATTAACAGTTTTGGGGACCGCGGTAGCCGAGTGGTTAGCATGAGAGACTCTCACGCCGCGGTTGTGGGTTCGATTCCCACCGTCACCTCTGGCCCTTTTTTCCCGATAACCCCCAATTTGGACAACATATATATATATAAGAATTCGTCATGGCTAATATGCAAAGATCATAAGGCCAAATTTAAAAAATAAAAAAAAATAAAAAAAACAGTTTTTCATTTTAAAACCCTGTAATATTTTTATTAAATTTTTATACACAGGTTTTTAGCAGAATACCATTAATGTCCCTCTATTTTACCAATTTATTAGTCAGAACCTGTAAGATAACTAGAGCGAGAGAAATACCCTGAGGACAGTCACCGAATATAGTGAGAGTGCTCTCAAGTTTGATCAAAACAAACAGCAACAATAGCCCCGACCAAACCACTGAAAAAAATACAACAGATCAATGATTTATTTTACTTTTACTAGATGGGGAAAGAAAAAGGCGTGAGAAACACAATCAATTCTGTAAATCCACCGAATTTTTTATACAGTTTTGTAGTTCTTGATCATAACTGTTCCAATGTTCATCTAGTATATTATTCAAACACTGCAAAATAACTAACGCGGGAGAAACATGCGGACAGTTACTGAAGGTAGCGTGATGACAATTGTAAACACAATTCTTTGGATCTACTAATTTATTCCAAATAGCCGAAAACAGAAGATGTTAGACTCACCACTGACTGAATTGGAAAGAGTACAAATAAAATTCTTAAAGTATTTATTACATCTTTCGCGAAGAATTCCGAGCTTTTTTATCCGATTAGAACCAGCTGCGTTCATCTAAGAAATAGTGTTCAAAAGAGGTCTTAATTTTTTGCGAAAATTATTGTTACTACCTGATAGCTCCAAAAAACGACATAATAATTTAACTGAAATATTTGAAAAACATAGAATATCTGCTGATATTGAAGCATAAATAAATTCAATGTACAATTACCATTACATTAGCATTTTTATCCGATTAGATCCAGCTGCCCCCATCTAAGAAATAGTGTTCAAAAGAGGACAGAATTTTTGGCGAAAACTATTGTTATACCCGATCGCTTCGTGTAAAAAAATCTTATAAGTCAATAAGAAGATTCCTTTTAAATGGTGTACTCATCTGCATAAAATACTTAACTCTATAAGATAACAAGAGTTATGGCAAAAGCAATGCCCATATATCCAAAAAACGACATACATAATTTAACTGAAATATTTGAAAATCATAGAATATCTGCTGACATTGAAGTGTAAATAAATTCAATGTATAATTACCTTTACAATTAGTTTTTTTATCCGATTAGAACCAGCGTCTCCCATCTAAGAAATAATGTTCAAAAGAGGACAGAATTTTTGGCGAAAACTATTGTTATACTCGATCGCTTCTTGTAAAAAAA